TGTGATGTAACATTAACAGGACTCCAAATTTTCTTCCAGAACTATTTACTGTGTCTGCAGTCAAACATATGGATCTCAGATTGGTCAACCATCTCCAGACTCACTGATAACTCAAACTCACTGGAAGACTGTACTCCCCATATCAAGATGCTGCCGCCACCACCAATATACACAGCATTAAGAAAGCTATGGTGTTTAGATTCCTGATTCCTAGAAAGTAATCAATAGGATGTAATAGGAACCTTTTATAAGGAGCCAAGAGGTCATTGTAAGGGCACAAAATCAGCAGACACTTTAGATCTTAACCAATTTAGACTTCCCCTCCATTCTACCCAGATCCGTCCCTCTACGTAGCACTGTCGTATTTGCTTTGTAGAATACATGGAGGAAGTCAATCAGGAATTAATGAAAACACAAATAATGAAGTTGGAGGAAACAAAATAAGCATATGCAAAGAGGGAAGGGGAGAAAAAGTCACAAACTCAAAACAAGTATGCATTCTCTGTTAAAGACAAACAAACTGGATAATGCTTTGAACTCTTATCCTCAAAGACTCAAATTGTAACGATAAAGTGAAGATAGCCATAACAAACAATTAGTTAACTTCTGTCTCTACTTAAATTTGAACATGGAATTAATTCACCAAGGCTATCAATATCATCCAGGCTTGTATTTATTAAAAGATAATACAATATTAAATCTCACACTAGTAACAATGATGTAATCTAGTACAGTAATAAGTAAAATTCTGTTTTCAAGAAAAGTGTACTTCCTACATGCTTAAAAATTGTATATGAAGGAGGAGTTCAAATTCACTTTGGTGCACTCACTGCTTGAAATGGGGAAGGGAAGGGGATGAAGCAACTGGCAGATAGATACAGTGAAGATAATGTTATTATGAAGATGACTTTTTTTAAAGTTTTTTGGAGTGCTGCAATTACAGGTTCTTTTCCCCTGAACTCAAATAAAATACAAACCAAAATTTGCATCTTAGATGGAAGTTAGTCTCAAAATGGTATTTCATTACAGTGTGCTATAAAATCTTGAATCTCAAAGTTTCATTTTATTGTACAGCAAAGCACCATACTTTTTAACATGTCATTTTAATTGTAATTAATTTGCAGAAATAATCAGCTGAGTAGTGTTTCTTATTTTGCTCTCAAATATCCCAAACAAAATATTAATTATTAAAACCCTCTGACAGCACAACTTTGAATTATAACAGTCATCTACATGCTCAGCCACATGTAGACTTTATCTTGCCCTTAACTCCAAGTCCATGTGCCCCATAGGCATCATATTCCGCATCTCCTTCTAGTGAGGTATTTCTTTGTCTTGCTTAAAGGATTACTAAAATGCAGTCAGCTCGTCTGTTAGGAGCCTGAAGCTACCAGGGAGGTAGGTGAACCAGCATAGTCACTACCATCTCCTGAAGCCAAAACAAACCAGGCTGAGTGGCTATAAACAAAGTGGCCTGAAGGAAGGACTCTTTTGGCTGTGGCATATGAGGAAAATGTAGGTGCTTAAGGGAAGCAAGGAGAAGAAAAAGCTGTCTCGTCAACTCTGATACATGACACTGGTCCTCAACAGCAAATACTATTTTCTTCTTTTGCCTTTCAGATATCTTGAAGAATCTCTTGCTGAAAAAAATCCTTAAAACTCTTCTGAAATAATTCAGCTGCGTGGAGATAACTGTAACAATAGGGCTGATGATAGTTTTTTTTTTTCCCAATGGACCCTTTTCCACTGGAAAAGGTTGATATACCAGAAATAAACATACAGAAAGGTGTGTAAGGAAAGGGCAAAAGAGCTGTAGGTGTAGCCAGCCTGTCTGCCTCATTTTCTGCAGGTCCAAAAGCCAGGCTCCCTCACCTGCCCAGACAGCTACCTCAGGGGGGCATTCCAACTTCCTACCCCTTAAGTAGCTGGAACAGGGATTTCAGTATAAATTATACTTGGGTCCAGTCCCAGCACTCCCACTAACTTACTGTGTGGCTTTGGGCAATCATTTGATTTGTTTCCTAATCTGCAAAATCAGGACAAAACCTAACTCCTCCTCCATGCAGTTACAAGGATTAATCTAGCAACATAGTGCACAGTCCAAAAAATTTACATTTTTTTTTTGCTTTGATCTTAAACTGAATATAGCCCTAGGCCTCTAGCATATTAGTAAAGCTTCTACTTTGTTTAACTGGAAAAAAATGTGTTGTGTCATGTGTGTTGATTCCCCACACCATCTGCACTCCCATTTTCAACATCTTAGATCCACCCAGGCTAGATGATTGTGAGTTAGAAAGAGAAATACCCATTTGTGAGAGGCAGTAGCTTCAGGAGAACAGAACCTAATGCGTGAAGACATGGAGGTATCCCCCACCCCCCCACTGGAAACCCACCTATACTTGATTATCCAAGGCATGGGTTTTCAACCTTTTTTAACAAGTGTACCCCTTGTGTCTCAGAGTTTCAGCTCACAGATTGAGGACCCAGAAGTGAGGGAGGTAGTAGGGCTGGGGTGTGGGACAGAGCTGCAAGCAATTCTTCTAGGGAGTATAGGGGGGTGGCAGCTCCCACCGCTGCACACACTCTGGGAGGGCATGGTGGGTGCGTGCCCCCTGAATCTGCACGTGGGGCAAGGGTGGGCTAGCACTGTGGGCTGGGGCTAGCACTGTGGGGTGGCGCCAGGCTCTTTCTGCCCGGGCGCCAGGCTAGACTGTGCTTGGGGCAGGCAGTGGCGGTGCTGGGAGGGGACTACAGAGTGAAAGGCTGCAGCCATTCCAAAATTCACTGAAGTCCGCCTGTAGCACCACCTCCTAGTGCTGCTGCCCACCCACCCCAAGCACAGACCCATCCCAGACCCACTACCGGGAAGAGCCCAGCGCCACCCTGTCCCCAATCCGCAGCAGCAGCCCGCCCTTGCCCCACACACAGATCCAGGGGCACCGCCCCCCATGCCCTTCCAGGCTGCATACAGCAGCAGGAGCCACCACCTCACCCCATGCCTCCCAGATGAGCCATGGCACCCCGCCTGTACAGTGCCTGCCTCAGCCCTAGCCCCACGCCCAACCCCACTCCCCCTCGCTCACCAGAGGCCTCAATCTGCCCATCCCCCCATACCCCTTGCCTCCTCACAACAAACTTACTAGCCAGACCTGACTGCCTTCTATGCTGCCAGGCTGTGCTCCTGTCCACCTGCAGGCTGCGTGCATACACAGGGCATTTATCAACCACATTAGCCAAAAAAAGCCAATTGCTGATACAGTCAATTTTCCTTATATGCCAATCCGATATGGAACCAATGCATCTCTGCTCTTCTATAAAACAGCTCTTCTCATGCAGGCAGTGTACTCTCTACAACCTTTTTAAGTACCTCTTGGGGTATGCATCCCCCCTGGTTGACAACTATTGATGCAAGGGAATGAGTTAAGAACTGCTTATCTGACCTTTTGCTTCCATTATTGATACTTGTGTCAGGAGTATTTTACTTGTTTTATTTTTTACTAATGTAGTAAGAGATTTCAGTCAAAAGTGTACATGTTTAATTTGTTTATAAAAAAAAAAAAACAATGGATTAGAACCCTGTAGCAGGGCACTATGGTGCCTGCTACTGAGAAAGCTGGGAAGACTCCTCAGGTGCCGGTTGCTGAGGCAACTAGAGGGAGCTAATGATCTGCACCTGCCTGGCCAGCTGACAAGAAGGGGCAGGGCCTGGCTCCTATATAAACCACAGGCAGGAGGCCAGGTGGCAGTTCTCTGCCAGCAGCTAGAGAGGAAGGAGCTCCCCGAGCAATGATGCAAGAACTGCAGGTACAGCCCAAGCCGGGTAAAGGATGATGGCTATAAGCCGGGCGGCTTTAAGTTATGCTATAGAATAGGGGCTTGTGTTTTGTTATGTTGTTTATAACCGGTGGTTTGGGTGAGGCTATCAGGGAATGGAGGAGGCCTCATAGGGGACTCGCACTAGTGTGAGGACCCCAGCGCCGGTGAGGACGCAGTATTCGGGGTGTATAGACCCTAGCCCCAGAGAGGGGCAGCTGAGAAGCCCCAGAGAAGGGGGCATTGTGGAGAAGCCCCAGTGCAGGCATGGTGAGCCCCGAAAAGGGGGGCAGCAATGCGGTGAGCCCCGGAGAAGCGGGGCAGCATTACAGAGAAGGCCCGAGAGGAGGGCGTGGAAGGAGGGAGACAGAGAGAGAGACTGAACAACGTCTATTCCATCTGCGAGGCTTGGGGCATGGTATTGGGGTGGTAGGAGCCACGCATAGCCCCTGAGGCTTAGGTACGGGGTCAGAACCATATAGGAGAGACCCCAACATATCCAATAGGATCGGTAGTCTTCCGCTTGCATACTAATAACATCAAGATGTGGCAGGCGAGATTAGAGCAGGACAGCAAAGGTCCAAGAGGGCTCCAAGGGTGCCCCGTGTAAGGTGCAGATGATCCGGAAGATGGCGCTGGGGAGGGCAACCTGTCACAAACCCATAAAGCAGGGGTGTCAAAAATCTGCCCCAGGTGCCTGAGAGTTCACCCACACACCACACATGGTGTGCATGAGAATGGCCCTGCACACAGGGCACAGGACCTGCATCACACACAGGGGCCATCCCAGACAGTCCAGGACCCACAGTGTATGCCATGTATACCCCAACTGGTCGGGAGCAGGTGCCATGTGTGGTGCAGGTCCCAGACTGGCCTCACCCAGGTACAGCATGCAACAGTCCCAGACCAGCCAAAGCAGGTGCCATGAGCTGGATCCGGCTTAGGGGAGAGGGGCAGGGGGGAAGGATAAAAGTCCACAGACCCAACTCCATGCATTCATCCAGCCTGTGGGATCAGACGAGTTTGACACCCCTGCTGTAGTCTTCTGCTCTTCGCTGTATACTCATGGTACTTGAAACGTGGCAGCAGATGTCATGAGGAGACTGTGCACCACAGCATATCACATAGTGGAATCAATTATTCTGTCATCAGCATGCAAGGAGATTATAAAAGCTCAGTGAGTAGACGTAAGGGGACAAACTGCAGAGAGTGTACTGAATGAAGAGAGGGTTTTACCTATCACAAGATAGGGAAAAGGGATAATCAAGCCCATGTCAGGATAAATAACCTTCCTTAAAGTCTCTAGTTAGTTCTAATATATAAAACCAGCATTAAGGCCAGTAACAAGCTTGGTCAGCAGTTGTTTTTCGTACAGCTTTCTGGACAAGCAAGAAGTAATACTTATAAACCATGTCCCTAATTCATGTGTTCTACTTCATCTTATTCTTCTTTGTTAACACAACTTGCTTGTTTTTTGATCTGCATGAGAACAGCCCCATCCCCCCCTGAACATGCAATTCTGTACTTCAGTAGTTTTTCTCTGAGACAAAGATGCAGCTTGACTTTTCCTCTTTCTACAGCTCCAGCAGAAAAAAAAATGCCTTCGATATTAAAATAGAGTTCCTGCTACAAACCACTGTCTTCCTTGGGATGCAGCATAGATATAATATCCTAAATATTTCTAGCCATCATTCTTTATGCTGTATCCTTGGAAAATGTAACTGATACAAAACCATCCTTGGGCTTGAAGCTTCTCACTTTTTCATCTAAAAATTATCTTTGTGATCCAGAACTCCAGGGTTTTTCATTCTCTTCTATGCCACAGAGAAATGATCATCTTTCCTTTACTGCCAGCCCCATTTTTTTTTCTTTTCAGGATTTCATTTATTATGAAAAACTTAAGTTCTTTCCTGAAGCCAGGCTGCAAATAGTTCAGTGGACAGGCAAAATGTGCAGTTTGGACCGGACCCCTCACTCAATTTGAGATGGGGATCTGGAAGTTGAGTCAACTGCATGAGTTGGGGGGTTTTTTTGTTAATGGGGGAAGGAGTTATAAAACATGTAACTTAACAAAAATTCAAATTGGATAGCAATATCCTATCATCACCCAATTCTCACCATTTCAAAAGTCCTGGAAGCGTACCTGTGAATTGTAGCAACGACTTTTGTAAAGGAAGACACTGGGTTCAAAAGTAACTCTTAAAAATAGTTTTGCACCTTTTCGAATATTGTTCTTATACTTATGGAAGTGACTTAGAATTAAATTACTGGGGATAAAAACAATAGGTTTCAACTGAAATTAGGGGACAGGGAAAAAAGGATAAAAGGGGTGGGGGGGGGAAGAGTATCAACTTTCAGTGTCATCTAAGAACTCTATAGAAGAGCTGTAATCTTATTACTGTATTTACTCAAATCCAAGATGAGACTCCGCCCCATCAGCATGGGGGAAAGCCCCTTGTCTTAGACTTTCACATAAATCAGAGTGGGGTGGGGATGGGGGATGCGGGAAGCTGCTGTAGTTCTGAGACTGATCCTGAGCCCAAGTCAGGGACAGTCAGACCCATGAGAGCCTCCTGCCCCCACCCTCTGCAGCTTCAGTCCCCCTGCCCCATGGGCTAGGTACAGACAGTCAAAAAGCCCTAGACTGAATCAATTCAGTCTTTGCAGGTTAGTCTAAGCTGCACAGATTAAATTGAAACAGAAATGAACAGATATTCATCTTTGATTCAGGAAATGCAGCCACATGCCTGCAGTGGCTTAGGCCAGAAGCCAGGGGGCACTAGAGCACATCTCTCTGGCTGTGTTCACTTCCTCTTCCTGCTGCCCCCAAGGTCTCTAGGATTTGCAGTTCAGAATAACAGCAGCAGGACTCTGCAGGGTTGCTCATCACTCTTTTCCTGCTTCCAGGTGTCTCTGGGATTTGTAATACACAGTTGCAGCCAGTTGTAAGTATGAATGGGGGAAGGGGGGGGTCTCCTTGGCCCCAAACCCTAGTCAGGGTTTGCCCCACCCTAGACTGGGCTGCAGCTGGGCTTGCCCACCCTTTGAGAGAGCATTTTGGGATGCCGGGGGACTGTGATTTCACTTGAACCAGGAAGGGGTCTGGGACAGAAGTTTCATAAACCAATTTGACCCAAATCAGTTAAGTATGACATTCAATCAGGTTTATCTTAAACCAGTTTCGGCCATTTTGAAACTGGTTTATGTGCACTGAGCTTCTCTGTTCTGTTACAGGTTTAAACCAGTTTCTGATCACTGAAACCGGTGTATGTGTAACTTCTGTCCCTATCCCTACTGTCATGTGCAGTTCAGCTTCAGCTTGGGCTGGATTTCCTCCCAGGCACAGAGCACATGGAACTCCATCTCCTGACCAGCTAATTAATAGCATTACTGCTGCTGCATGGCCCAGTGAGGGCTGTACTTCCATGTGCTGTGATCTGGGAGGGAACAGAGCCCAAGCAGCACCTGACAGTAAGGCCAGTGGAGGTGGGGAGAGGCAGAAACTGCAAGGAGTAAGGGGTAGGGGGTGAGGCAGACACTGTAGGAAGTGGGGGGGGGCATAAAAGGGGCAGATATTGTGGCAAGTGGGATTAAGGGGCAGAGATTAAGGGTAAAAGTACAGAGGCTGTGAGGAGTGGTAAAATGGGGACAGAAAGGCTTCAGAGGGAAAGTGTGGTGGGGGGGGGCAAAGGCAAGAGCATTACCTTCCCCCTCCCCACAGTCACTGCTTTCCCTGCTGCAGCAGTGGAAGAAGGGTGAATTTAAGATAAACCTCCAATAAATTTGATTAGACTAGTATAAAATTGTTATATTCTTTTCATTTTCAATATATAGAATCTAATTATTGGGGGGACATCTCTAAATTCAGGGTTGACTTACAGCTGAGTAAACTAAAGAAAGTTTCTCATTTTCTATGGGACATTTAAATAAGAAAACTTTTTTTAAGTTACATAGATTTTGGAGTACAAGCAAAATTATATACTAAAATGAACAATCTGCCCTAGGATGTCATTGCCTACCCTGAAGATAACAGCATCATTGCAGCAAGTCGGCTTCAGTTACCAGTAGGCATCAAGTCATGTTAGAACCAACAGCTGACAAGGTTTCCATCTCCCCTACCTCCCCTTGAAACCAAATCATCCACAGCCCTAATCATCCCTCATAGAGCTAATAAAAAGTTTAGTTGTAAACATGCTTTCAGGGATATTGCCAACATGCGAAGAGATGCTCCAAGCCATAAAATGACAACATATGGGAAAGCCATTGTTACAGAAATACTTAAAATATGTTGCACTGTAACTGGGGAGCAGTCGGTAACACTGGCAATGCTTTAGAAGCCTGAATTATTCCTGAACAATTTTTCAGTAACTGGCACCTTTCGTTTCATTAGTTTTTAAGTGTAATAAATGCAGTGCAACCATTTCTGCTTCCTCCCAACAATAACATGCTTACTGCAACTTGAAGCCAATTGATTTCATGGATCCTTTTTTCCATTCTAAGTGGCTACACATATCCTCAAAAACGTGTTTTTCTTCTTATGTGGAGATCTGTAATTCCTTTCTTTTGAACAGACTAAATATTAGAACATAAGTCGTGCCATACAGGGTCAGTCTAATCTAGTGAAGTATCCTGTTTCCAGAAGTGGATGCTATACAGGGAGAGCATATCTAAAATGGATAGATTTAGAAATAGACATAGATCCATGTCCAGGCACATGATTAGGCAAACTGATAATAAACTGAACTCTCTTATGAACTGGCTGCCCCTGTAATGTAATGTCCCAAGTATCTGTACTTTACCAAGGTAGTCAGTGCCCTTTTCTGGGCTATGAAGAAGAGTATGTAATATAGAAGATAGAAAACTGATATGCCAAAGAACATTCATTTAAAGAACAGACTGGAAAAAGGAAATAGTGAATCACAGCAAATGCATATTAGCGATGAGACATAATAAAATATTTCCTAAGACAGGGGCTCAATTAGGTTTACAGACATTAATGGACCAGGTCAGTCTGCCTGAAGAAAAACCCACTCATATGTTCAATGCCCTGGAGTTCATCAGAAGCAAATGCCCATGTAGAAACTCTATGAACCTCAGTTTTACAAAGTGAACCTAACATAATCTGGCAGTAGTCTTCCAGTATGCATAGCTTTTAACAAGGCCTGCCCTAAGGTTTTGTAGGACCCTGTGCCAAGAAGTTAAGGCCTGAGGCAGACTTTTGTAATTCACATGGTACACTTGTCAGAGGCTGGGGGAATAAGGAAGTTCTGGTAGCCAAGAAATCCTCAAAAGTTTGTAACAGGATTATTGTTGCCAAATAAAAACATTTGTATCAAGCTACTTTTGAGTGGTCCCTGACCCATAGCGGGATTGCCTACAAGACTCTGAAACACTGCCTGTATCTATGTCATATTATAGAGTTCAAAACATGACACTGAAGTGGAACACAATATAAAGTTGCCTGCTTATAGGCTAGTATTGCCAACCATGGGCCAGCACTTAACTGTATTTATAGATTAGTCATATTTAGCTATTGTAACCTTTCTGCCAGGCACAGGGTGGCAGTAACAAGGGTCAGGTTCAAATTTAGGAGTTTAACATCATTTTTCCAATTCTGGCTTGAGCCACCACCTAGAAACCTGGAAAAACACTTTTTAACTGAGTATTTTAAGGTGAACAAATGTCCCCTACTTGCAGGCAATGTAAAACTAAAAACAGTGTTTACTACAGTGGAAAAGAAAACCAGCAAACACACTTAAAGAAAGCTTTAACTTAAAAACATTAGCTAAATCCTGAAACAGTTATGTTTTGGTCACTGGCAAACCACCTGGGGGGAGCTACCACCTAACCCACTCAGTTGGGAATGGCAGCATACGCAGGGCTGCCATCTAGGGACGTTGGCACCTACACTAGCCAATAGTAGCAGGTACTGCCCACCCTGCAGCACCCTGCTGCTCCTCACTGCCAGGGATCACTGCTCTGGGGCTATACCACCTACACCAGTCAAAGTAGCAAGTGCTGGAGTGGAGTTGCTGCCACTCTGCTGATGGGGAACATTATTACAGCACACTGCTGGAAACTGCTGCCCTGGCTGCTGCTACCAGGTGTCACTGCCACTCTTCTAATGGTCCTCTTTGGGTTGCCTATACAACCCCAGCTCTCAGACCTGGTCTTATTTCAATAGCAGGCTGGATGATTTTTACCTTTTCTGACTACACAATCAGGCTTCTATCTGAACCCATACCAGGAATCTGAACTCAAAAGCACTTTTCTTTTCCAGTGTCATCCATAGTCACCCAGAGAGTGACACCTGTCTAGAATCTCTCCTGCTCCTCACAGACACCCTGTTTCAGCACTAAAACTGAAGTCAATCCCACTGGAGATCTCCAAATAGTTCACAGAGCACTACTCTTTCAGTGACCTTTGTATAATTTTCCATTAGCAGCATGTGCTGCCCTTCACAACTGCACACTTTAAACATCAGTCTATACCAGGCCCACAAACAATAAAAACAAGTTTACCCACCCTCAAAATTCTGAGCATGCATACTAATGAGGGTAAGCAGAGGAAGAATACACAAAAATCATCATTATAGAACAACCATAGCTGAACATGCATAACATAAGCAGATTTATACCTATGAGTCATAAAAATCTCCTTTTTGTAGTAGATAAAAGTGGGGCATAGAATAATTATATCTAGCATATCTAGAGAACTTATACATGGACCAAATATGAACATGATTATTGTGATTACCAGGGATCTGGGTTTCCATTTCCTAAAGAAAAATGGAGAAAAAGACAAATTTTCCCCTTGACCAATGGAAAATGCAGATTTCTCATTTTAATGGGGAAACCCACGGATTTTGCAGTTTTGCAAAGAGCTCTTTGCAAGCTGGCAGAGTTCTAGCTTGCAGGAGGCTGGGAGGGAGTGGGAGGAGGGCAATCAGGCAGGGGGTGCCATGTGCATGTATATGCATATGGCCACCAGCCAGCCTGGAGCACAGCTCCCGTATGTAAGTTGGGGGGGGGGGGGGAGAAGAGGGGGAACTGAGGTCCCCATGGGGAGGGAGGGAGAGAGTTGGGCAGGACTGGAGCTGGGGCGGCTGCCCAGCAAGGCAGTACATGGAGCTTAGTGCCCGGGGCTGCAATGTGCGGCTTCAGGGCAGAACAAGCAGGGCAGAAAACAACAGAATGCAGTTCAACAAGGAGAAATGCAAAGAGCTGCACCTAGGGAGGAAAAACGTCCAGCACACCTACAGCCTAGGGAATGAACTGCTGGGTGGCACGGAAGTGGAAAGGGATCTTGGAGTCCTAGTGGACTCCAAGATGAACATGAGTCGGCAGTGTGACAAAGCCATCAGAAAAGCCAATGGCACTTTATC